ACAGCTCCCCTCTCCCCTCTTCTGAACAGGTTGCTCAGGAGCTCTTTGACGGCTCTGCCTGGGCTGCATGGCGGCTGCTGCATGCTGGGACGCTGAGTGGGGGTGATTCTTCTCTCCTCCGTTTTCGTCACCCCCCTCCACTGCATGGCAAGTGTGGAGAGCTCATGAGCCACTGACGTCCTTCCTGCGTGGACTTTCCCCATTGCCTTTCCTGTCCATCTGTGTTTCATTGACCCAGATGCAGCGCCCTCCCCAACCCCTACTCCCCAAAGAGAATTCATTATCAGGTTCCCTGGTCCATATTTCTACCTCACGAGTAACAAGAGGCCAGGGTGTCATCCTTCCAAACATTTCACAGGCGCCTCCTTGAGCATATATTTGATCACTGGCTGGCTATGATGGGGAAATGCTAAGTATTCTGGTGACCAAGGGGCAGACTAACTTAGGAGCAGGCACACAGTTTCTGTTGTTAAATATTGTTTCCTCCATTTAAAAAAAACTTTGTGTGCCGAAGGCAAAACACATGGAAAATACAGAAAAACACAAAAGAAAGTTCAATAACAAATTGCCCTGTAATTCCCACAGTTAAAATTATCGAAGTATGTATAAAATAGTATACTTTACATATTCTCATGCAGTTATCTTCTCATGTGACACTATGTTGTCAATGTACTTTCATAACTATAAATAATCGTTTGTACTATAATTTGTCACCAAGTGGAAAAATGTATAACACACACACAGATCCCTGTGATAGTTCATTTTCTGTTGCTTTAACTGAATATCACAGACTGAGACATCATGAAGGGTAAAGGTTTATTCAGCTCATCATCCTGCAGACTCGGACGTTCTAGAGCCGTCTGTGGCGAGAGTCTTCTTGTTCTATCGTAACCTGGTGGAGGCATCGCATGGTGAGACACAGCAAGCACGTGAGCCCGAGTCTCTTTCACTTTTTATTAAGCCTTTGATGCCGGCAGAAAAGCCCCACCCCCATGTCCTCACCTAACCACCGTCATCTCCTGAAAACTGCCTTTGGTCCCACCTCGCAATACCTACATAACCTTAATCTACAAGGGTTAAGTTTCAACAGGACTTTTGCTCAAACCCTAGCAATCACTTATCACAATTCTCAGAGATAACTGTTGCCACTTCAAAAATAATTTTTAGGCTTTCTCCCCACGCACACGCATGCTAGAATATAATCCCAAGTAGGTCTTGGCTTGCTGTGTCTACCCTGGTGTTCTCAGTATCTGGAAGAATGGCCTAGAGAAAGTGTGTTATGGTTTAGACCTAAAGTGTCCCCCAGAAGTCTCTGGTTTGGAGGTGGAGGCTGGTTGGAGGGGGTGGGTCACTGGGAGAGTGACCTGGAAGGATGGTTCTTTCTGTCTGTGTTTCCTGGCTGCCATGAGGTGAGCGCTCCACCATGGTGTGTCTTCCCTAGAATGACACACCAACAATGAACGGAACCCGCTAAAAACTGTGGCCCCAAATCCCTCTCCTTGAAGTTGTGGGTGGTGGCTATGGTGTCCAGCAATGGGAAATCTGACTAATACAAGACGCCCCCAGTGATTACTCCTGGGATCCACACCTGATGGGCAGAGATGAGGTAGACTCATTAAACATCCCTAGATATAGTTGTGCTTCATGGAAGTTGAAGGAAGAGACTGTCCAGGTGACAGTGGTGGCCCCAGGTGTAGACATCTAATAATGACAGAGGGTCCCTTTCTTCCCCACTGTGTGCATGCACAAACATGCAACTGATTTTTACAAGGGGGTTTGTTTCACGTGTTTTATATGTATGAAACAAGCAACCCAATGACCATAGTCTGGTGTCACTTGGTTATCTGTGCAGGTCCTGGGTGGATTGGGGAGCAGCACTCTGCCTCCTGGGCTGGGGAGGTGGGGAGCTGTCCCTGCAGAGCACAGGAGTGAGAGAGTAGGAAGCCAGGGCCAGAGGGATCTGTGGGAACTCAGGACAGCACATTCCTGGGAGATTTCAGAAACAGCCGTGGTGACTTCCAACCAAGTAGACTGCTGAGGGTTTGTGCGTCAATGATTTGGGAGATGAAGTCCTTTAAGGAACATAGGTTGAGAAGGCTGGGCATGAAGAATTATATAGTTTACAAATAGGATTGTAATATACTGCTTTTTCGTGAAATACTGTACAGACATTGGAAAAAGAGAAGGTGTCTGCTCTTTGCATTTTGGTGCATCCTGTGGGTGGATTATAATTTGCATCTCTGAGTTTCCAGGGAGACTCCAGTGGCCCTAACTAAATAATGCTGCAGGAATGTCTTTGGCCTACAGTGGCTTCCAGACTTACATGTGTGTTCCATTTGCCCAGGGAGCTCATAAACATGCAGATTCTGGGCTCCATGCTTTGTAAACAGTTACCCCCTAAACCTAGCCATTTAATACAACAATGAACATCTATTGCTTCTTGTGGTTTTTGAGAGCCAGGAGTCAGGGAATATTCTAGTTGGTTATTCTAGGTAATGATCTCTTAGGTGGTAGTCAAGATGTGTGTCAGAGATTGACTGGGGCTGGAGGAGTTGTTTCCAAGCTGGTCATCAAGTCTGTGCTGGCAGATAGCAGACTTCAGTTCTTGAGTATGTAGAATTCTCCATACATCTGCTTGTGTGTCCTCGTACGTAACATGGTAGCTGACTTGACCCAGGATGGGTGGAGAGCAAGCCAGAAGCCACACATTTTTACCACACTGGCTTCATCCGTCATCCTGGGGCCTCTGAAGTATTTCATTGGTTACACAGGTTGGGCCTCTTTGAGGTGAGAGGAAACTCATTGTGGGTCTCACTGATGGTCACTGGGGTCTTGGATGCTGGGACACCAGATAGTCTGGTCTCACACATATAGGGTAGAGATCAGGGATTTTCCTTTACTTGAGATTGAACCCAGGGTCAACACACTCATGTACATCCAGCCCCTGATTTTAAAATTTTAATTTTGAAGTAGGGTCTTGCTAAGGCACTAAATTGTTCAGGTAGGGCTCATCTTATTATTTTCCTGCTTCAGCCTCCCAGAGAGCTGAGATTATGGACAAGTGGCTCGGACCACAACTGGCTCAGACTCTCCCTCAGGACTTTCCTCAGGAGATTCTGTCGTGGGCATTCCGAGCTGCACACTTCAGAAGACACCAGCATACTGACCATTGCGTATGTCTGTGAGGACTATTGCCCAGAAATGCTTCTCCTCAGTGAGGGAAAACCAAGCTTAAGATTGGTGGCCTGACTATCACACTGCTCCCCGGACAGGAGCCTTGGTCTTTGCTCTAGCTATGGAGCTTTGGCTTTACTGGGTGATGACTGTTTCTTCTGCTTATTGGTGGGGTGCACACTGACCAGGAAAGGTTGGTTAGGATAATGTGGGGCCAATGGATGTTGCGCTTTTTCCCTAACATCATCCAAACACCACGGCCAGTGATGGTGATGGGGATTTTTGGTACTGGGAATCAAACTCAGGACCTTGTGCTTACCAGGTAGGTACAGTGCCACTGAGCTATATCCCGGACCAGTGGTGTAGATTTTTAATAGCCAGAAAAACCCATTATTCCAGCGCTGAATCACTGGCTAGTAATAATCAGCACACACACTCTCTCTCTGTCTCTCTCTCTCACACACACACAGACACACACATACAGACATACGGGGTGGGGAGAGAGGTAGAAGAGTTTGAAGTTTTGTAAGAAAGACACTGGACAGAGCTGTTAAGGACCCCTGACTTGGAAGTCATAGACGATTTGGAAACTTCTTGTTCCTCTTTGCTTGTGAAAACTTAGGTGTTACTTTATCTTTCTGAGTTTCAATCAGTTTAGTAATTATTGCAATGCATGTACATAAGTCTGAGATTGAAAAAGAGGTTAAAACTCTAAATAATCACCTTGGGGGGCATTTTGAGAATAAGGGGAGAGCTGGGGATCTTCTGGCACTACAGACTGTGTGTGCCACGCAGCACATCTTTCCCTCCTAGTAATGTCACTCAGGTTTATTGTGGGGCTGTATCTTACCTACCCTGAGTGTGGAGTGGGTAGAGCTATTCCTAGATCTCTGGCTAGGCAGTGTAAGCTCTGGCCAATGGGAACACTTATTGCAACTCCCTGCCACAATGATTGGTCCAGAGAATGCATATGACCCCTACTAGTCCAATCAGGGTGAATTCCAGGACTCCTGAAATAGACTAACAAAGAAGCATTCCCCCCACCCCGGAGGTCTTGAACTGATGGGTTGTAAACCAGGAGCTGCTGCCAGTCATTTTATTATGCTGGCAGAAACACCTCCGTAAGGGTAGAGTCAATCTCAAGACAAAAAGTAGAGAAAAACCAAGTCTTCATGCTGTCCTTTGAGCATCTGGGTCAAGCCACGCTTGAGTTTCCAAATTACACCGGTCAGTAATCTTCCCTTCAGGCTTACAGCAGTCTGGCTGGCTTTCTGACATGTGCAGTCTAGTGTAATTTAAATATCCCAGGTACAATGATTTTGGAATATGAAAAGCCCCATATAGCTGAAATTATCTGTATTAAATTTTCACACATTTGATATATTTGATGAGGGTGAGCCAATGTTACATTTTAATGAGACTCTCTGTCATTCACTTGGGAAAAATAATTGTTCGTTATGTGAACCCAGACATCTGATCACTCCCATAGAAATAAATTCTTTTTTTTTCAAAGCAGAGACTCATTTTTAGAACAGCATGTCTGCTGTGCTGGACTGCGCATGCATTGAGCACTTACTGTGTACCAGACATTGTCTTCCAAAATTAACTTATTTCTAGTACATGAGAGGGAAAAAGCAATCAACCAAACTCCAAATTAATAGAATGGATAGTGCTGGCTTTCTCTTCCATTCTTTTCCCACTAGGCCATTGACTCTTGCTTCTGGTTTATATTAGAATTTGGTATGAGATTATAGTTGATTTAGCATGAAATTTCATGTGACAGGATAATTCATTGAGGTATTAATTTGTGTTTTGTTTTGCTACAGGAAAATATCAGAATGGATGGGAGCTATTTGTAAATGCTCCTCTGCACTGAATGTGGTTAAGAAAGAGGAGGGTGAGGAGAAGCTGGGTAGGCATGCACTGCCTGCTACAACTGGTGCTCCCCAAGTGTTCTTTCTGTCTCCTGTCTGGTGGGACATGATGACAAGCTAGACGAGCAATCATCTGCAGCAGCATGATGCACTTAGAGGCCATCAAAATGCAGTCCATGGCCAGGGACCTGAACGCAAAGCCTGGGGATTCATAGCAGGTGAAGGGATGGGTTTATGACCACTTTTAAGGTTGCTGCAGAGTATATGAGCTGTGGTCAAAATATATGTGAATATTTAAGTAGAAAAATTCCAACAAAGGGGCTGGGGATTTAGCTCAGCAGCATAAGCACCTGCCTTGCAAGCAGGCAGTCGTGAGTTCGATCCCTGGTACCGATAAAAAAGAAAAAGACAAAAAAAAAAAAAAATTCCAACAAAAGGCATGCCATTAATGCCTTTCAAAATACCCTACTAGAGAGCAAAGTAAAAATGGCAGATAGATAAGAACAGATTACAGAGGCTCCCTGAGGCAGACTCAGATGCCAAAATAACACAGCATGGGGAATCCCAGACAGAGGGAGATGGATCCTCTCGACCTAGGAAGAAACTAAAGCAAAAAGAACCAGTCAAACATGCAGTGCTGGGGCTGGGGATTTAGCTCAGTGGCTTAAGCGCCTTCCTGGCAAGCCCAAGGTCATGAGTTTGATCCCCAGTACCAAAAAAACAAAAACAAAAACAAACAAACAAACAAACATTCAGTGCCAGGGCTACTATTGAGGCAGCTAAGATTCTGTGCTCTCACGGGCCCTAATTCCTGCCACTTCGACTTGTGGGAACTACAGTTGCACCAAAGTTGGAGGTTGGCGAGCCCAACAGAGAACAGAGCTGGCAAGGGACCTGCATCAACCTGCAGTGAGTACTGGGAATACAACCTTTCCACAGGAAAGGGGCACCAATGGGATGAATCCGGTAAGACTGGCAAGAACAAGGAACGTCAGTGACTTCAGTCAGTTGTTCCCTTCCCAGACGAGATTAGTGGGGTATGCTTGGTGTGGGTCACACCCCTGGCTGAGACCCAATAAGCTGTCCCAAACCAGTTCCCTACACGCGGTGTATACTAAGGCAGTGAAGGCCTCAGCAGGTTGACTGACCCGGAGGGGAAGAACCAGTATATGCCGCCCCTGTTTGCACCTCAATAACACACTGGAATGGGCAGGATCACCTAGCCAGTGTGCTTCAGAAGAACCATAACCAACAAGCAAAGGGACTGGGATCTCCTCTATATGCCTGTATGGAAGAAACAAAAACTATGAGAAGAGGAAGCAACAAGAAAAAGTCCCCAGCCCCTAACCCTGAGAACACTAATCCAGGAGAGGTAAATACAAAAGAGACTGAGGACAGCAAACATGCAATATCAGATATGGCATCAGTGGACACAAAGAGATATCTTCGGGACCTCATAGACGAGTTTAAAAGTGAAATATTTAACCAAGTAAAGCAAGATATAAGTAGATTTAAAAAAGAAATGCTAAGCATCTCTCAAGAAGACACAGATGGAAGAATGGAGGAGCACAAAAAAAGGAGAGAAATGTTTGATGAAGAATATAAAGAAAACATGAATTAGGTTCAAAGAGATTACCAGGAAATAAAAAACTCCATTGAAAGCTGGCAAAACTGCTTGAAAGAAACTAAGGATAGATTATCTGAACTAGAAGATAGGTTTGCAATGTGTGATCATGAAAGGAAAGATTTCTTAAAAATAACAAGGAAACAGGCAGTAACAATACAAAGACTAGAAGACGACAAGAGGATCTATAACTTAAGAATAAAGAATGTGAATGAAGAAGCAGGAGTACAAACAAAGAAACTATAAAGGCTACTCACAGAAATAATTAAGGAAAACTTCCCAAGCATAGGAAAAGGAAATGATATTCAGATGTATGAGGCATACAGAACTCTAGCCACCTACAACCAAAACAGAGCTATACCCAGGCATACAGTAATAAAGATCCCAGAAATTCAGTATAAGAACAGAATATTAAAAGCCATCAGACAAAAGAAATAGATCACCTATAAAGGAAAATCTATCAAAATCACAGCAGACTTCTCGACACAGACCACCAAATCAAGAAGCGCTTGGAGCAAAGTATTCCAAGCCCTGAAAGAAAATAACCTCCAGCCCAGATTGATTTAACCTGAAAAACTGTCTCTAGAAATTAATAGAGAAACAAGATACTTCCAAGACAAAGAGGAACCAGGGGGAATTCATGATTACCAATCCAACTCTACAGAGACTACTGAAGGACATTATATATAGAGAGAAAAGTACCAGGATTCCAGGAACAGTGGCAGAGAGGCCTCAATGAAAGGAACAGAAAGTGGAATGAAGGAGAAAAGCAGACAACTAATGGCAGAAAAAGAGCACAACAGAAATGAGGCAGAGAAAGGTTGGCTATAATGTCTAATACAGATGGCCTTTGATACACTAAAAAAAAGAGAGAAACATAGGCAGAGTAGATCAGGAGGTAGGGTCCACCGAGATGCTCGTTATAGAAAATATAAGTAAACTGAAAAAGGGTTTATGGACTGAAAATAAAATATGAGAAAACAATGCTCTATGTGACAGGGAACCAGAAAGTAATAGGGGCAACTAGACCAGAATTTGAGGATAGGTTGGAAAGACAAGTTTTAAATAGGTAAAGGAATACAACTAGAGACCAAGTCCAGGAGGGAGAAGGTTTGGAACCACTTAGGTAAATAGCAGGTTCCCTCGCCAATCTAAAAACTGAGGGTGTTGGTGAGACCCAAAAATGCACAGTGCACCCTGGGGGAGTGAAAGAGGAGGAATAGTCTTAAAAAAGATGGCAAAAGATATTGTTAATAGTGTATCAGGATTTAAAACCCACATTACTCACACCACTCTGCTTAGATAGATTTTATTCTGTCCCAGTGTGTCTACTTGCACTAGATCTGAGGGCACAGACAGCTATCCCAAAAACATCAGGATATAGCACAGTAATCATCTTTAATTTCCTATTAACTTAATCTGGAGCTCTGTATGACGTATACTGTTTTATGATTGATCTTAGTTAAATCTGGTTTGTTCGATTGCTGTTTGGTATTGACAGATTTTATTCAAAACTATTGTGACTGATAGTATCAAGTCTGAGAGTATAGGCAACTACACTGAAGATGACAAGACTCACTACAATACCCATTCTGGTTTGATTACTACCTGTTTTTGAAGTTTTACACTATGTACAAAGTTGTATTTTTATTAATATTGTTATGTACTGCTATATTCAATTATACTATGTCTGATGATATAGCCAATTCTATTGAAGATAACAAGAGACAACACAGTAACCATGGTAGAACCCCTTGTACAGTGGTTTTATATGTCTTTTTCATTTCATGTGTTTATAGGGATATGTTTTGTTTTGTCTTGCTTTGTTTTGTTTCTCCCTCTAATATAGAAAGGATAGAAATACATGTTAAGACTCATGCATGTGTAGAACCTATAAACAGTTTATGAGAACTGGTCTTATGACACATGATGAACTGAACAAATACTTTGAAGAAAAAGAGACACTACAGTACCCAGTGCTGATCCTGTAGTGTCATGATGTGAAATCCAGCAATACTATTATTCTTTGTTCAGAGTGATTTTAGCCTGCTTTGGTTTGTTTAAACTCAACATAAATGAAGATATGGATAACTGCATCTATGTTTAAGAGTATAGGATTGATAACCATATTACTAAGTTTTTGTTGGATAGTTGAACAGAGCTGTTTGCAGTCTCGCTGTTTAAATCCCCACTTGGTATGTTTCACTTTTGTATCTTGAACAACTATTTGTAAGAGGACAATCTGTAATCATCAACTAGTGATTTCTTACTGTTTATTTTTTCTTTGAAGGTATGTATTATTTCTACCAGTTTTCTGTTTAGTCTTTCTTTAAATAAAATTTAAAAAATACCCTACTGGTTTGACTTTCTCTCTTTCTTTGTTTTTTTCTTTCTTTCCTCTCTCTCTCTTTTCTTTCTTATTTTAATAAAACATTTGTTTTATTGAGAAAAAAAGATCCTATGTGGGTTATGGAAGAGGAACTAGGAAACATTTAAAACATCTGGAAATACAAGTTGACACAGTCATTCAAGGGACTCCTGAGGCTGGGTCTGTTTGCCTCTGAGATGGCATTTTCTCTTTGGTGTCCACTGATAGTAACTCCTGCTGGTTTCAGGGGCTCTGTCTTCCTCGTGTAGTGAAAAATGAATTTTAGGATTCTTTTGGTGGAATTTTTTTTGGGTCTTCTATGTAGTGGACTGTGTCATCTGCAAATAATGATAATTTGACTTCTTCTTTTCTTAAACATATCCCTTTTATTTCTTCCTCTTGCCTGAGTGCTTTGACTAAAATTTCCAGAACTGTACTGAACAGTAGTGGTGAAAGTGGGTATTTTTGTCATTTTCCTGATTTTAGAGGGAATGCTTTCAGTTTTTCTCCATTTAATATTATGTTGGCGGTAGATTTGCCATCAATGGATTTTATCAAGTTGAGATAAAATCTTTCTACATCTATTTTCTTCAAGTTTTATTTTTTATCATGAATGGGCTTGGGATTTTGTCAAAGGCTTTTCCTGTGTCACTTGAGATTATCATGTGATTTTCATCTTTGCTTTTGTTTATATGATGTATTAAATTTATTGATTTGCATAGGTTGAAGCATCTCTACATTCCTGGGACGAATCCTGCTTTGTCACGATGTATGATGTTTTTGATAAATTGCCGCGTTGCTTGTTGTATCTTATTGAGAGTTTTTGCATCATGTTCATTAGAAAGGTTGGCCTATAGGTCTCTTCATTGGCCGGGTCCCTTTCTGGTCCTGGAATCAGGGTAATGCTAACATCCAGGAATAATGTTGGAAGTATATTTTCCTTTTCAGTTTCATTAAAGAGTTTGAGGAATCTTAACATTAGAGCTTCTTTGAAGTTCCGAAAGAACTTGGGAGTGAATTCGTTAAGACCTGGACTTCCTTACTCGGTAAGTTTCCTTTATCACTTCTTCAGTCTCATTGCCTGATTTGGATTGTTCAAGGTTTTATATCTTCTTTGTCCAGCTTTGATAGTTTTAAATGTACCTAGGAATCTATTCATTTCCTCTGAGTTCTCTATGTTACAGCTTCTTAAAGTAATTCTTATGAATTTCAGCAGAGTCCACTCTGATTTTACCTTTTCATTTCTAATTGGAATGATTTGGGTCTTTTCTTTCCTTTTTTGGTAAAATTTGCTATCGGTTTGTCTTTGGTGTTTATTCTTTAAAAGAACACAGTGCAATGATTCATTTAGTCTTTATATTTTATTTCTTACTTTCAGGTTCATTAATTTTTGCTCTGGTCTTTATAATTTCCTTCCCTATACTAGCTTTATAGTAGATGATTCTGGTTTTCTAGGACCCTGAGGTGCATCATCAGATTATTTGAACTTGCTCTGTTTTTCTGATGTGGGCATTTACAGCTATTCACTTCTCTCTGAGGACTGTTCCCATTCTGCCCTGTAGGTTCTAATACATCATACTGGCATTCTCTTGTGATTCTAGGATCTGTCTGATTTTGTCCTTGATTTCCTCTGTGACCCAAGGGTTACTCAAGAGGATATTATTTAATTTCCATGTGTTTGCATAGTTTCTGAGGTTTGTTTTGCCACTGATTTCTAGTTTCACTGTACTATGACGTGATAATATGCATAGTACAATTTCAATGCTTTCCATTTACTCAAGTTTGTTTTATGGGCTACCAAGTGGTCTAGTTTGGAGAAAGTCTTTTGAGAAGAATGTGTATCTTGTGATTGTTGGATGGAATACTGTGTTGACATCTATCAAGTCCATTTGTTCAAAGATTTGGTTCAATTTTGATGTTTTTATTGACAGTTAGTGTAGTGCATCTATTTTTGACAGTGAATTATTGAGACCCCCATTTTAGTTGTGTTGGTGTTACCTGATTATGTATTTGCTTTATGAAGTTGAGCATGTTGGTGTTGGTGCATATAACTGTTACCTCTTCCAGTTGAATTGTTCCCTTAACCAGTATACAGTGACTCTCTTCGCCTCTTTTGATCAGTTGTAGCTTGAAATCCACTTTGTTTGAAATTAGGAAAGTTAATCTTGCTTTTTTTCTGAGTTTTTATTATATGGAACATAGTTTTCTGTCGATGTCCGCTCCCGGCCGGCAGGAAGGACACACGACACAGTCTGGTAGTGGACAACCTTTTCTTTTTATTTTTCTTCTCCGTACAGCCTGCCCTGGGTTCTCCCAGCTGAAGCCTCCTTTGGTCCGCTCCCCGCGGCTCCTTTTGTGCTTCAGTCTGCCCCAAAGCCTCTACCGGTCCGCTCTCCGCGGCTCCTTTTGGGCTTTTACTTCCGGGCTTTTATCTGGCTTCTACCTGGCTTCTACTTCCTCCCAGGGGTGGCACCGGTATATATACGGATACAGTGTCCAATCATGTTAAAGTAAGCAAGGCAAGCTGATTGGCTAACATCATCAGTTGCTAGGCAGACTATATTGTTGAGCGGGTTGTTTACGCGGTAAGCAGGAAACTAACATATTCGATGGGAGGGGTAATCTACCTCAGGCTTCACTCTTTACTACAGGCCGCACGTCCGCCAAGTAAGGCGAACTATCACAGACGCGGCTCCCAACATCTCCCCCTATTTTATTTTTTATGAATGTGCGCATCGTAGCCCTTCCTGGACTGGGTGCAGAGGCTTATGCCCTATGCGTAGGCCCACCGTAGGTCCTTGGCTTAGACCCTGGTCGGCCGTCCCATGGTCTGCCAAGGCCCTGAGGCCCTCGTCCTTTTTCTAGGGCCAGGCACAAACTGGACGGAACCTGGATGCACACAAGCTTGCACTCATTTCCTCTCCGTAAAGAAATCCCCTCGGAGAGAAATTTAGACCTGGGCAGCATCTAACAGTCCAGCGGCTTACGTGCAGGATGGGGTAGGGCCTGGCTTAGGTCGAGTCATGCTGGGGAGGCACGCTCTTACCCGTCATTGACTCATCTACCCTGCTGTGTATTGTCACCTTATGGAGGAGAATGAAGGATGCCCGCCATATCTAGACTCGGTCGTGGGCCAATCGAGCAAGCCATGCATATGCCTGAGGATCTTTTTGTCCATTTCGGGCTACCGCTATTTCTATTCATCTTGTTGGTTGGTCTGTGATGGATCTCCAGTAGGGCAGGTCTGATCTTCAGTCGAGGGCTTTGTTGCCCGTGTCAGTCTCTCCGGTATCCACAGTGGTTCTCGTCCCGGTTCCTGTGGGAAAACACAAACCGCGCCTCGGTTCCAGCTGATTACCGGATCCGGGCCCATCCATTGTCCTGTCAGGACATCTTTCCACTTCACCCACCCTTTATGGTTGGGGGAAGGGTTGCAGTGCTCCACAGCTGGGGAGCGATTATCATTATTTAAATTTAAAAAATTGTGTGTGAATAGTGCCATGGATAATCGTGCCTTTGGGGCCAGGCCTTGGCCTACTCCCCCTTTTTGTTTTTGTAAAATTTCTTTGAGGCTTCTATGAGCCCTCTCAATGATTCCTTGACCTTGGGGATTGTATGGGATACCATGTTTTAATTGAACCTCCATCATTTTGCAGAACTCATTGAAGGCTTTGCCTATATAGGCTGGTCCATTATCAGTTTTTAATATTTTTGGTTTGCCCCATGCGGCCCAAGCCGCCAGGCAATGATTGATCACATTAGACACTTTTTCACCTGTTTCTGCTGTTGCAAATATGACGCGAGAACAGGTGTCTGTGGAAACATGAACATATTTAAGAGTCCCAAACTCCTGTATATGTGTGATGTCCATCTGC